GTAATATATAATATTCTTGGAGTGGAGGTCAAGGTGAAAATATATTCATTAGTGTCAAAATATCCGAAATATCTAGCCCATACACATTAGGTTTACGGTTCCTATATAAATGAAAATCCTCTCATTCATAAAACTCCATCTTATTGTCATCTACTACTCAGTTACATTCAAGCATCTACAATTATGTCTGCGATAACTCTTGTGTGTGATTTGAAACCATTCAAATCGATGTGGAAGATAAGGGTGAAGATCATACGATTGTGGAAACAGTATTCAGCTGCTGGTGGTCTAACTATCGAGATGGTTCTAATCGACTCGAACGTATGGTTCTTCCCCTCTTTCTGTTTATATTTTTAGAATTTCTTTTGTTATTAATTTTTTCTTTTGTTATAACTTTTTGTAGGGTGTTAAGATTACGGCTTCCGTCAAAAAGGATCTGGTTAATCAGTTTGAATCCTTTCTGTCCGAAGGCAGTTCGAAGATTATCATCAACTTTGCGCTTAACCCCTCCTGCGGTTCATACCAAACAACCATACATCCATACAAACTTGGGTTTCTGTCGAAAACGCGTGTGAGGTGTTGTGATGCTTTGCCTGATGAGCTAACTGGTTTTGAACCAGCTAAGTACAGGGATATTCTGGATGGTACACTCAATACGGACTATTTGGTTGGTAAGTAGTTACAATTTAGTTATATTATATTTAATATTTGATTCGCCCAAACATTATGTAACACATCTATTATTTTTGCAGATATAATAGGCCAGATTGTCGAGGTCACCCCAATTGAAGTTGTTTCCGCTAATGGGAAAGATACCAAGAAAATAACTGTGGAACTTCGGAACGAGAAGTAATTTATCCATGTTATATAGTTTTATACTACTAACCCGTTATGGTTTACTTGGAGAAGGGGTTTTTGAATATCTTTTATTTATTGTAGGGATGAACGTCTACCAATGGTGTTATGGGGTAACTTTGCTACTGATGTCAGTGAGGCTATTGGAAGTGCCGGTGATAAAGCAATAGTTTGTGTGTTGCGGTTTGGAAAAATTAAAGTTTGGAAAGGTAATGAATCCGTTGTTAGATATTGGTTATGTTATACATCTTTAGAGATAATGATTGTAATATGTGTGGAGTAATGAACATTTACATTGTCATCTGCAGAGGAACGAAGTGTTTCCAACGCTTACAATGTTTCGGATGTCGAGCTTAATCCATTTATGGCTGAGGTGGATACATTTTTGTCACTGTAGGTTTTCGTTTTCAATGTAACTTTTCATGAATATATAGGGGATATATGTATATTATGAGGTAACTACTTTGTTCTTTGTTGTACTTCCAAGGTTGCCGAAAGATGAACTTCCATTGGTAGTTGTCCAACCTAAACCGCTTGCCCTGACAAATGGAGTTGGACCAAATATTGATATGTCCAACTCGGACCAGTCATGCATGCATAAAGCGTTTCTTTTTGTATTGGAATCTTTTGAATGACAATACCATAGCTTCAGCCTTATTATGTCTTTAGTAATTGAAGAGATTCCTTATTTTTCCGATCACAATAGATGTGCACCCTTATAAGTATCGACCAAGTCCACTACTTCTCCACCATCAAATTTCCCTCACAATATCTTTCTTCGTAAGCATGCATTTCCAAAACAGAGCTTGCGTTTCCCCTTAAAAACATATCGTACTCCGTCTCTTCTAATTTATCCTTCTTGGTTACACTGAGTGAACCTTTTAACTTAGAATACTTTTATCACTCTTTGCGCGGCAATGAATTCCGATTTAACGGTTAACGACTACAGCAGCGAGAGTGATTGTGATTCTTCTACCGTGCCCGGCCCCTATGGTAACGCAGATGAAGAGACCTATTTCAAGAACATCGACCTCAGTTATTTTGCTGCTAATCCACTCGAAATGTTGACTAAACACAAGGCTTTGAAAGAGCTGTGTTTGGAGCATGGAAACCCCGAGGCGCACTACATTGAAGGGTTACTGAGATACTTCGTTGAGCAAGATAGAAGTGAAGGTCTCTTTCATATACGTAAGTCGGCGTTTGGTGACAACAAAGAAGGTACGTATCTTTACGGTTTGCTAATGCTTGCCCAAGGTAGCTATATAACAGGTAAAAGGTACTTGGATAAACTCCAATGGATGCAAAGTCGAAATTTGTCGGATCAATGCTGGGAAAAAATCAAGATCTCACTCCAAGACATGCGTATAGTTTGGAAGAGACGACATTTACGCAATATGCAGAATCTCGCAGGAGACATAGAATGCAATCAGAATGACTTTAGCGAGTTATGCATCCAATGCTTTTACTACAAAAGGCTTAGGCTATTTTATCAGTATGTTATTGAGAAAGAATAAATCGTTTAGTGCTTTGTGGTGTTGTAATTTCAGTTTGTAAACCATCTTTTGGTTCTCTATGTTTGATTGCCTACGTTGTTTGGTTTATTTTAATATGGCTTCTTCCCTACGTAGTTTTGTGCTAACCATTAGGCAACCTTATGTAATAATTAGTTAACAATATAATAAGTCGATTGGATGATACTATATTTAATATAAAGGTGTTATCTTATTTTCAAGTTGTTGTTGATGTGATGATGTGAAAAAAATGCAAGTATGCTTTGATATAAAATAACAAAGTGTTATCTCTGATGATATCTATTAGAAATTAAAAAATGAGAACATGTGCGTTTGTCGTAACGTTATATCAAAATATGATGTAATGATATAGGTGCAAAGGCTCTTCCGCTATGGAACAATAACCTATACCATGGGAGTCACGAGCAATGAAAGCTGAACCAAGATCAACAATTGCTAAGATAGGATAAACAATATTATGCAATGTACATATCCATCACTNATTAGAAATTAAAAAATGAGAACATGTGCGTTTGTCGTAACGTTATATCAAAATATGATGTAATGATATAGGTGCAAAGGCTCTTCCGCTATGGAACAATAACCTATACCATGGGAGTCACGAGCAATGAAAGCTGAACCAAGATCAACAATTGCTAAGATAGGATAAACAATATTATGCAATGTACATATCCATCACTGAAGCGTTGTTTTAACAAAATACTAATAAGTTATACGTTATATTAACTGATACAATTTCTTTCACTCTCCGTCACTTACCCCGCGCAAGGCGCGGGTTATCACCTAGTCTATATTATAATAGTACAGTTTCCTTTGCTCTTAAGCTGTCCACGTATGCCTTTTTGTGGGACCCATCTTTCTTTTTTTAATGCATTTTATTATACGACGAAAAGAGATTAAGCGAAATCTTTCTAGAGGTTTCCTTCTCGATTCGCCTACCTCGATCTATTCTCTTAATCTTCTTTCTTTTCATCTTCATTCATCAGCCCTCCCATCTCCATTCTAGGGTTTCTTGATCGCTACTTTCCACCCTCTCGGTAAATTTCAATTCGTCGTCTCACGCCTCTCCGTCTCCTCTGATTTGATCAATCAGTCCTGTAAGGTTTTGGGATGTCAAAAGATTCTTCAGAGATGTCTTTCTCCTCCGATGTAGTTGTTGTGCAATCAGCCTTTGACATTCTCTAACTCGGTAGATCTGTTACGTGGAATCCAGAATTCACAGCCAGGTATCAACTCATTAGGTGTTCCGGTTGAACCAAAATTCCATCTTGTGCTAACTTATCTGATTATACCATCAATAGGAGAAGCTTTCAGAAAGGATAAAAAGAAGGAAGTTATCTCAACAGGAGAGCTAAACATGTTCGTCTTCAATTCTGAAGAACATGTAATATTCTGATTTAATCATCGCAGAAGTAGGTAAAGCCGTTTAATCTCTCTACGTTTCAGTTGTGGCAGTGCTTATGGTCATTGATGATCTCTGTGTTTGCAGCTATAAGCCTATAACTCTGCCTTACATGCATTGTATCTGGAAGCCATGGTAAAAGTATTCATTGACTGTTTCGAGAAAATGATTCTGAAGTCTGAGAAGCTCTTAAGAGAGAAAGAAGTTTCAAGCGGAGGAGAGGACACGATTGAGTTGGATCTTGAAGCAGAGTTCTCGAGTTTGGCTCTTGATATTATAGGGTTTAGTGTGTTCAACTACAACTTTGGCTCTGTCACAAAAGAGTCCCATGTAGTTAAGGTTTATTTATTTCTTGGAATTTTCTATTAGCAAGCTGGTCCGGTCCTTTCTTGAAAGTTTCTGTTATACATCACAGCCGGTTATGGAATCTTTTTTTGAGGCAGATCATCCGCGTACTTTCTAATTCCCGTATTGGAACTTTCCTCAAGCCAGATGGATAGCTCCAAGGCAAAGAAAGTTCCAAAGCGATCTCAATATTATAAGCGATTGCCTTGATGGACTCATTCAAAAAGCAAAAGAGACAAGACAGGTGTTTCACTACTTGCTGCTCTCTTCGTTCTACTGTTCAGTTTCTGACTTTGTTATCTTTGTTTCTCCCAGGAAACCGATGTAGAGAATCTCCAGCAGCATGACTACTCTAATCTCAAGGTATTGCTATCTTTTATCTCTTGCATCTTTACTAAAGGTTATGAAAGTCTTTTTTGATGTTTTTTTCTTGGATTCACAGGATGCAAGTCTTATACAATTCTTGGTCGACATGCGCGGTGTTGATATTGATGACCGGCAGGCAAGATTATATAACTTACTGTACATCAATCTTATAATCATCTTATGCTTATGATTTTCTCTTCAACAGCTGAGGAATGACTCATGACTTGATGACTAGGCTAATTGTTGGTCACGAGACAACAGCAGCTTCTCTGACTTTGAATGTTTACCTTCTTGCACAAGTATACTATTAAATGTCTTATTCCCATATTTTCCATGACTGCTTAAAACTCATTGTACAGTTATTTAGTATTTTGATTTTAAACTTGCAGAATCCTGAAAAAAAGTGGAAAGCTCAAGCGGAGGTTGATATTGTGTTTGGTGAAGGTGCACATACTAATGAATCGCTGAAAAAGCTAGAGTACGTTACCTTATAAATTATCTTCTTAGATCTTTCTTTTGGTCTATTTTTTCAATCATTTGACTGCTTTGCTCAATGCTTCTGCAAGTACATACGGCTCATCGTTGTGGAATCCCTTCGTCTATATCCCTACGGAATATTTACATTATGAATTCACAATGTTATATTCAGATATTTTTTTGAGATAGATGTAACACTAGGTTAAGGGTGAAGATTCAGAAGATCTATTTGGGTGATGAAGAGCGACTCAAGGCTAGCCGTACATTTCTGCTATTATAAGCCATCGTTTGTCTTCAAATGCAGCAATTTTTTTTGACGTCTTCTGCTATAAGCAACTTGCGGTTAAGTCAGAAAGCAGACATATATTATCAGAGATGATTAATAAACTATGAGCAAAAAGTTTAAATCCAGAGCAAACTTTAACCTAAAAAGCAATACTCAAACTCAGTTATCACATATATAAAGAGAGAATCCTCTACTATACGCACGTACTCACTCCAATTCTCCCTTGATGTGACGATTCTTCATTAGGGAGTCCTAAACATTGTTTTTTGTTTTTGTTTCAGGTGTTAGTGTTGAGGTTCTTTGGCTAAGAGATGTGCAAAAGTTTAGTGGCAGAGTAAGATTATCATATGGCTTAATGATTCATCTCGACGCCACCCTTTTGTTTCTATCAGTTTTGGACCAAAAATAGTTTTTATTAGAATATAATGTATGATTCGAAAGTTGCCAATATCGGGGAGTCGTAATATCTTCACTCAACAATTGTTTTATTTTATGTTTGTTAGTCTCAAAAATGAAGATCTCTTGCATCAATTAAGATCACGAGTTTGAATAATAGCAAATTAGTCAATACAGTTGGTGATACTACATTAGTCTGCATATCTGAATAATTATAGAATTGTTACTCTATTAAAGAAAACACTACTGCAAATCTTTATTTTCAAAATCAATTCCAGGGACAGTTAAAAAGCATAACATATTTACTGTTCGTATAAATTCTTCAAATTGAAAATCAAAATTTATCTCTTTTTCCATTCATTATTTCATTTGTATATTTACAACTAAATAAGTTTTGTTACCTATGGTCAAGAGATCGCTACTACAATAAATGGTCTATCAAAGCATTATAAATATATGATATGAAAACATTCTTATATCGTCTTAATCAAAAAGTGTAACTTTTAATATTTCATTCGTACATCATTATGGACAAGATAGACAAACAACAAAATGCATCAGAGCGTACAAAATACATCTATATTTAAATTTAAACTGATTCATTAAAAACACATCTAAAACTCTATTGTGTACCAATTCATTACTAATTCAACATTTGGTATTTAATAACTTTTTTATTAATTAAAAAAATAACCATGATTTAATTATTTTTCCTACAATTTGCAACAATCGTAACCGCAAATTTTATTTCATTTTCCTTACACTATTTAAGATTAATATACTAGCAACAAACTTATTTCAGTCTAACCAACACCATCAACCTCAGCTTTTAAACATGTAAATTCTAATAACAGTAACAGTCGATAAAATCATCAGAAATTTATATATGGTAATATCAACGTATATGAAATCATCAGTCATTCCTATAACAATTTAATTAAATTGAATAGTTTCCAATGTTTTCTTTATATCACCATTATTGTTAAGTCAGTAAAACAAATATTAACAACAAACAAACTACAAAATTTCATAGACAAGATAATGTTTTCGGCCCCGCGCTTGCGCGGGGGCTATGACACTAGTTTTAATGAGTACTAGACACATTCTCTCAAGAAAAATTTAAACTATATAGAATCAGGAAAATGCTTGTTTGGACAAAGAAAGACATGTGGATTATACATTCGGACAGGAGTTTTACGATATGTAATCACACCCTTAAAACAGGACGAACCACATGTCATACATAATAAATACATTATTTTTGGTAAAATAATAAACACATTATGATCAAACAAAACCAAAACGTTGAATGAAGCTTTATGTTCTGTTGGTTTAAGCTCGAAGAAAAAGGAAATTTGAGAAACAAGATAAAGACCCAATCTTACCAAGTCATGGAATATAGGATTTATGATATGTTTAGGAGTCATCTAAATGTGTTACCTATTAGGATTAGGAATTGCTAACCTCTATATAATAAGATGTTAATGTGTGACATAGATTAATAGAGTTTAGAGATTGAGAGTTCAAGGTTTTGTGTGAGTTTCTTTGAGAGAATAATTAGAAGAGATTACGTTTGAATTCTATATTTGGTATGAGAGCTTTACAAACGATTATGACGGATATGGCGATAACAATAATAACAAAACCGAAGGAGGAAAAATCTTCTTCGATCAAGTGCCCTATGTTAAATTCAACGAATTATACAGTATGGGCAATTCGTATGAAAATTCTGCTTAGGATTCATAAGGTTTGGGCATTATTGAGGGAACAACAGAGGAAGACAGCGAGAAGAATGATATGGCAATCGCATTATTGGTTAAGGCCATACCCGAAGCTTTAACCCTGCAGGTTGGAGAGCTTGACACTGCAAAGAAGATGTGGGACGCTATCAAGGCTAGGTATGTGGGAGTTGACAGAGTTAAGGAAGCTATATTGCTGACGTTAATGGCAGAGTTTGATCGTTTTAAGATGAAAGATACAGAGAAATTGGATGATCTTGTCGGCAAGATATCTGAGATAGCTTCAACACTTGGGGAAGAGATAGATGAAACCAAGCTTGTCAAGAAATTCCTCAAGTGTCTTCCTCGAAAAAAAATATATACATATTGTAGCTTCATTTGAGCAAGTTCTTGATCTTAAGAATACAAGTTTTAAAGATATTATAGGGCGAATCAAGGCTTACGAAGAGCGAATTTACGAAGAAGAAGATCATGAAGATCAAAATAAGCTCATGTATACAAACACGGAGCCTCAAAATTATCGAGAAAATCATGACGAGTATATGGGTACAGAGGAAGTGGAGGACGCTTCTCAAGGGGACGAGGCCGTGGAAGATACAACAGAGGGAGAGATGGAGGAAGAGATCCTTCACGAGTTACATGCTTTCGATGCGATAAGATAGGTCACTACACTTATTCATGTCCCGATCGGTTGCTACATTTACAAGAGGCTCAAGAGAATGATAAGGATGATACACAGGATACAGACAAACTCATGATGCACGAGATTGTCTACTTGAATGAAGAGAAGGTCATGCCAAGCAAATACGAAGTAAGCAACGAAGATAAAAACATATGGTATCTCGACAACGGAGCATCAAACCATATGATCAGAGACATGCGTTACTTCGCTAAGCTTAATGAGTCAATCACGGGTAAGGTAAAGTTCGGAGATGACTCTCGCATAGACATCAAAGGAAGGGATCAATTGAGTTTTTAGATCAAAACGGTGAGTCTGGAACCATGAGTGAAGTCTATTTTTTTAATGCTCCGACCGCCCACAGCTAATGGGCCACCCACGCCCACTCTCTCGGCCCATGGGGCCCATCCCGTTCCAACGGTCGGTCCGTTAATTTTCCAAGACTCTAGAGTCATGTTTACTGACCCTGCAATCACCACATGACCTTTCCCCGTGCTTTGGCCTCACTTACACGGTATCGCAAATCACTTTCCGATAGGTCACCCATCCTTAGACTACTCCAGCTTAAGCAAGCTTAAATCTGGAGTTCTCTCTGTATGTGCTCCTGAAAAGGTAAGTTCACTTTGACGACATAGGTAGTCAAATCAATCCTCTTAAGCCTTTTCAAATACTACAAACTGGGATGTTACAATTCACCCCTCTCAAAGAACGCAATGTCCTTGTTGCGCCCCACGACAGGTCTCAAGACGCCTCTTAGGTCAGAACTGAGATGGCTAACCAGCTCTGATACCACTTGTAACGCCCTGACCGCTCAAGGGTAATGGGCCACCCACGCCCACTCACTTGGCTCGTGGGCTCCATTCCGTTCCAACGGCCGGTCCGTTAATTTTCCAAGGCTCTAGAGTCATGTTTACTGACCCTGCAATCACCACTTGACCTTTCCCCGTGCTTTGGCCCCACTTACACGGTATCACAAATCACTTCCCAATAGGTCACCCATCCTTTGACTACTCCAGCTCAAGCACGCTTAACTCTGGAGTTCTCTTTAGATGTGCTCCTGAAAAGGTAAGTGCACTTTGATGACATAGGTTGTCAAATCAACCTCTTAAGCCTTTCTAAATACCACAAACCGGGATGTTACAATTACATTCCAGAATTGAAGAGCAACATCATAAGCCTCGGACAAGCAACTGAATCAGGTTGCGACGTAAGACTAGGAGGTGAGAACTTAACTATGCACGATAAAGATGGGAAACTCCTTGTGCAGGCAGTGAGATCAAAGAACGGGTTATATAAGATTCATGTGGGAGTAAAAGAGCCAATGTGTTTGATCTCCACGGTAGTAAGTGAGACTAGTAGATGGCACGCTAGGTTGGGTCATATAAATCTCGAATCTATCAAGTCGATGGTACAGAATGAGCTTGTAATCTGGAAACCAAACATTACCATTGAGAAAGAGATATGTGGATCATGTTTACTAGGAAAGCAAACAAGACAAGTTTTCTCAAAGGCAACTACTTACCGGGCAAGCAAAGCATTTGAACTCATACATGGAGACCTTTGTGGTCCCATATCTCCTAGCACCAAACCACGAAATAGGAATATCTTCTTGCTTATAGACGAAAGCTACTCTAGGTATATGTGGACCATCTTGCTCAAGGAGAAGGATGAAGCTTTTGAAAAATTCAAAAGGTTTGTTAAACTTGTAGAGCAAGAAACTACGGCAAAGGTAATGACATTCAGAACTGATAGAGGAGGAGAGTTTGTTTCAAATGAGTTCAACACCTATTGTAAAGAGAGAGGTATTAAAGGCATCTCACGGCTCCGTATACACCTCAACAAAATAGAGTTGTTGAGAGAAGGAATAGGACCTTAATGGAGATGACTCGCAGAATATTGAAGCATATGATGATACCC